ATGATTTCGGACAAACTCTATAATTTTATATCTCTCCCTATAGCTACACCCACATACAAGCCCGCCAACCCCACCTCGTCCCTGGCGGATTTCGGCTACTTGCTTCTGATACAGTCGGCAGTCTTTTCAGTCTGAAAACGCTACCATAATTGTCATAAAAAAGCCATGGCGACGGACGTGGAAGGGCGGAGAGTGTATATAACATTATCTTAGTGTATATAACAAACATTTCTCTACCAGCTTTTTATTCACTAGTTGATATTCAGTATACTTAGTATCATTAAGTGCCATCCAAGATTCTGATACGGACGACAAAAATGGTTTTCCGGCTAGCTTTTCATCTCCAAATTGATCTTAATCTGTGCTCTCCTCATGGTTTATATGGGGAAATCTTGCCATGCCGAACCCGTTTTAAGGCTTACATGGATTTACGACGGATGTTCCGGGGTGCTGAAATTTGTGATGCGAGAATTCAGTTAATCACTTGGACAAGAATCCGCCTTTGCGTGAAGTATTTGGGACAGGAATCCACGTGTATTCTCCCTGTCTTACGATCCTTCATTTTTGGATGTCGATGTGTCGGTTACCTAGGAAGAGTCGTCCGTGGTGTTGACAGAGCGGACGGTTCCTACCCGGTTACCAAACGCACATCTCTGGAATGAATTTGAAGTTTGATCTTAAAATAGAACGTGCCAAGACACGAGAATAGCATGTAGAACAGCACACATATTGTGTCTTTTCTCTTTCCTCTCTGAAGACTACCGTGAAGAAAGCGACATGGTTGGTGGGAGATTTTCATGCCTAACGGCCCACCCTGCGCCTGCGGAATTCTCGGTCAAACCGGGTTCAGGCATGACATTCACGTGTCATTTACGTGTAAGGAAAGTTACAGCCCTAGCCTGTGACTCTACAGGACTGAGTGCTCCTCACCGGGAATCTTGTGCACGCAGACCTACGGGACCTATGTGGACAGGCCTGGTGGATTCATCTAGTGCTTTGTTACCAGGGGCCTTTGCCGTCCATTGCACCTGTCAGTCAAATTAAACCTACAATGCCATATATCACTTTCTCACCGAAAAGGCCACGTCAAAGTTCAAAGACGTCAGTTTTCCTTTAAAGGTCTACAGACGCAGACATCCGGTAAGGCACACTTTCTAGCACGTAGGCCCAACATGTAAACGGACGTCTGAGGACGGACACGATTTCAACTACCTACTTTTTGCATACACTTTTAGGCACGGCTGTGTCACCAGTTAAGGAACAAGTATTTCAAACAGAACTTGAGTAGTATTCATTTTGTTCTAAATCCAAGACATCTCTGTGCGAAGACACACATAAGGCTAATAGTGTCTGATGTCCAAAGTTACCAACATACAGTTGTACCTGGGAGGACAGAACGGCACGCACAAGGCACGTGTGAATGATCTTAGCT